TTTTACTTTCGCTCACAATTTCGTGCAGGCTTTTCACTATCACCGACGTGGCTGACAGATTCTTTTGAATTAGGCCACGAGAGGAGTGGAGAAAGTGACCAACGCATGAACACTACATCCGGTTGTGATTCGAGTTTGATGAGCAGTTTTGTTTGCTTGTTCTAGAGGGTAGCCATAATGAGTGGAACTGTAGAAAAAGCTTGCTGACAAATTCACGTTACTTGAAACTTCTGAGAAATACTGCTTTTTACATTTTCCCATTTTCATCGAGAATAGGTTGGAAAACAAGATCTTAGAGGAAAGGAACTGTAGGAGTTCGGGAGGGGAGGGGGGTGGTTCGTAAAGTTATAAAATCAAGCACCTTTCCAGTTTTCAGTATATTATCATCACACACACTTACACACACACACACACACACACACACACACACACACACACACACACACACACACACACACAAACACAGAATACACATACACACTCAAACACACACACGCATACACGCACCCGCACATACTAACACACTCACACACATGTACATAGCCTATATTTATGAATGTAACATGTTATCCCCACATAGACGAACATGCAAGCAGCCAAAAGGAAGGACAGACTTACACGGTCAGAGAGGAAGAAAGCCTGACTGAGACGGAAAAAAGAGGATAACAGAAATTAAGAAAAGGGCCTCGAAAAAGTCCCACACTCTATCATCTCACCCCACACAGCACCAGCTAATGATAATAATGCCACCAGGCTACACTCCACCCGTCTTCGTTCCATCACTCATTCTTCTTCCTTCCTCTCCATTCATTCGCCCCGGTCCTCCTTCCTTCCTTCTCCCCCTCCCCTCACCAGCTCACAATTAAACCTCTCCGGGCAGAGACACAGAATTCGAAGTTAATTTGACAAATTGTCCACGCTTTGTGCGGAGAAGAATGACCACTCAAAAGAAGACTAACGGCCGTGGCGGGCCGTGAAGGGTGAGGGGGATCCTCTCTATTCTCTGGGGAGGCCCTTGTGTTCAAGAGAACGGGCGAGTTTCTAGGATCTTTTTGTGTCTGCCGTGATCGGATGTCCACCGTCCTGCCGGCTGGCCAAAGACCTTTTTCATCCCGAGGTCGTGTAGTTTAAAGGGGTTGGCAAACACAGTTCGAGAGCCCTAGAATTAAACCCGTGCGCTTCGCCGTGCATTCAATGGTGCTAGATTTGCTCGGAGTCGTGAGAGAGACACGTAGAGGGTCAGGCTGAGGAGTGAGGGATGATGACGGAGGGGTGGGGAGAGGAAGGAGGGGGGAATGGGAGGTTTTACCGTTTGCAGCACATCTGTGGAGGAGGTGTGTTTTTGTCTCTCTGTCTGTTTGTCTGTCGGTCTGTCTTTCTCCCTCTCTCCCCCTACCCTCTCTCTTTTTTATTCCGTCTTTTTCTTACAGCATTTCGCGTTATTTTTTTTTAGTTAGTAGTTTTTTTTTTTGTTTCTTGGAGTAAGCTGTGTTGGACTGTGCAAAATCATTGCTGACATAATAGTCATACAGGTGGTTTGAGCCTATTCTT